GTGGCATGGTGGTCAAAGTGGCTGGATCCCACATGGCCAACTATGCAGTCTGAGTCCTGGACCTGGTGGCTTGAAAAACATGCTAGGCATGTGTACATGTGTGCCTGAAGTCCCCAGAAGAGAACGGAGAAGGTATTGCAGCATGGCCATCCCTACTGAGAGGGGGATGCGTTCTCACTTTCTCACTTTCTCTCTCTCTCTCTCCTCTCTCTCTCAAGTGCACAGGCCCTATAGCAAAAATTTTAAAGGAAAGTGGAGGAAAAAAGGTAGGTATTAAAGTCTCTTTTTTTCTCCACTCCAAATGTCTTTCCATACATAGAGGGAAATGTCCCAATAGGGCAGCCCTGGACCTTGGTGTTTCACTCCTGGGGAAGAAGAGTCTTAATCTGATGGCTGCAGTTCGGAGGAAACTGTGAGCACAGGAGCCTTCCTGTTCTTCCTCCCTTGTAGGCAAACCTGCCATTCTTCTTTATTCCTCGTGGCTAAGCTTTAGAGGATCAATTCTGTCCAGGGAGGAGAGGGAGGTGGAGTATGCCAATCCACTGTGGACAGTCACCAGGAAACGAAGTTGGTAATTCTAGGATTCAGTACTGGGAACTCACTTGCCCAGAGTTAAAACCACATCCTGCAGTAAGATCCCATGTCTTTTCCCTGACAGGCCAATGTGTCAAAGCTTCGAAGATAAAAGTTTGTCCTCAATCCACCTGGCAGCGACCTGAAGTGACTTGAGTTGCTGGAGGCCAAACCTGACCTTAACTGACTCGAAGCTACTTAGAATCCTGAGTATCCACTTAGAGTTCTGTTGTCTGATACACTAGCGGTAGCTACATGTACCCACTGACATTTAAAACCACTAAAATGACCTAAAATTGAAAATTCAGATTCTTAGTCACACTAGCCCCATTTCGATGGCTCCAAGCTTCATGTGAGAAGTGCTACCATAATTAGATGAAGCCTTGCCCTGCACTGCAGAAAGTTCTGGATAATGCTGATGTAGACGGAAGTCATATTTCTTTATAGACATATTCTTATTTGATAGGGGATGTTACCTCAGACTCTACATATTAAATAGTGTGTACGAATTTTACCCTGAAGCTAAAAAAAATTTTAATTAAAAAAATTAAAAAATAAAATAAACATTTCAACATTGCATCTGGCCCAGAGGATCACAGATAAGGGATTGGTGACCTGCCTTATTTTGTTTCACTATGAAAGGTAATATTGAGAATTTGGTCTGCCTTCTGTGTTAAGACTTGACCTTATTCTGAATTGCTTAAGAACCAAGGCAGGGAGGGAACCAGCAGTTAGCGTAATGGCTATATCGCTGGACTCCCACGTAGTTGACCGTGGTTCGCGTCCCGGACCCGGTGGCTTAAAACTCACGCCGGGCGCGTGTGCGTGCGTGCCCAAGATCCCAAGAGGAGAATGGAGGAGAAGGGATTGCGGTGTGACCATCCCCCCTAGGGGGTGATTTCTCGCTTTCTGTCTCTATGTCTCTCTGTCTGTCTGGCGAGCGTATGCGCCCTATAGCGAAAACTTCTTAAAAACAAAAACAAAAACAAAAAAACCCACAAAAACCAAGGCAGGGAAAAGGAGGTCCTCAACATTCCATCACAGAGTTGTGCAGGTCCCTGTCCCACGCACAGACTTTTTTGTTCTTTTGGCAAATCACAATGCTGGATTTTTATGTGTGTCCTAGAATCCCTGCTCCCAGGAGGTGTGTCATCTGGCAGGAAGGCAGTGGTTAAATAAGTAGAAAACTTCCAAAGATGAATAAAGATGCCACAGATGGGATTTCTCTGTTGGGTGTGAGGAGGGACTAGAGGGAGTCCCAGGCCCAACCACTCAAAGAGAACCTGGATGTTGTTAATGCGTCTCTCATCCTTTGCATCCTGCCCACCATCTTCCATGCGGTGGCAGCAGGTCAGATTCGGTTAGACTTTTGGACAGGACTGTGTCCATCAGAGTCCCACACATCCTGAAATTCCCCTGAATGTCCCTTGGGCTACCTCTCAGAGGGAGGGAAGCGGGTCAGGGCAGCCATGTTCCCCTCCAGTCATTTGTACTCTTGAAGCCTGACAATCAGAAGACGCTAGACAGCATTTACCTGCCGCATCCAGCTGATTCTCTTGTCCATGTGACAGGAGCTCCAGCTGGCTGCAGAGACCCCAGACAGGTGTTCTGAGTGTCCACAGGCTCCGCCATCTCCCTCTGCTACACAAATTCAGGCCAGTAGCTTAAATTGACACAGCCTCAGTCTCTTCATCTGCAGAATAGGGAGGACAGCCTCTGGGTCATCACCTTCAAATGGTTACTGGAGGATAGGAATCCCAATTAAAATGCCAAACGAGCTAATATATAAGGGACACATTCCCTTTACAGCTGATGGGGCAATTCTATGCAAGTCTTGTAAAGCAATATCTGTGAAATCAACAATCCAAGCAAGAGCCTGGCTGGATTCTCCAGGTCTTACTGTGCGTGCAGCATGAAGCAGCTTTTATTTAGAACATAAATTGGATTTCCACTTGTAGAGGGAGGCATGAGATAATGTCCTTTGTTTTAATTTGACAGTGGAGAGGCTGTTCCGTATTGGCCAAGAATCTCATATTGGATTGTCTCAGACACAACCATTTGCTTTGTAAAGTGCATCCACAAAGATCCCACAGTCAAGTGATGCTTCTAAAGAGGATTTACCAAGATTGTAAGGTTTCACGTTTGGATTGTTACAAATGCCCATCCCTGTCTTTTTATTCACCATACCGTCGGCTCTCCAAACTGGGTAAAATTGGAGGTCCTGGGGGTGTATTGACATTTCCAGGTAAGCTTCTCGTTCCTGGACTTTTCCGATCGGGATGGAAGCTATCTAGCTCAGATAGTCACCAAAAGGCACGATCAACTCCTCCCTCCTTTTGGCTTTCCTGGGATTAATACATGTTAAAGTTTTTATCTCAAGTAACTAGGGAATTGGAAGACTCACATGAACCGACTTAAGGAAAATGACATTAATCTTGAATTTTAATTCACTATTAAGCTCACTCAGCATAAACTCATCTGTATCCTAAAAATTGTACACTTAAAGCAAGAAAAGCGAAAGATGGTGATTTAGTTGGTTTCTCCTCAGCAGATTTAAATACATCCATAAGGCCCTTTTTGAAGCTCAGGAGAATTGAAACTTCCAAGACTACTTAAATAACTCCTAATAGCATTCTCTCAAGACACTTTCAAAACATTGTTGCAAATTTTCAAAAGCACTGAAAACAAGTTGCATATTTGTATCAAGTCCTAAGTAGGCTACAGTATCTTTATGCATTGTTTTCTTTTAAATAGAGATGTAGGTAGGAATCCTGGAAGACATATTTGAGATAGAATAGTTTTTTACTTTTTTTTTTTGGAGAGGTTTTTGCTATAGGGCGCGTGCGCTTGCCAGCCAGACAGAGACAGAGAGACAGAAAGCAAGAAATCACCCCCCAGGGGGGATGGCCAGGCTGCAATCCCTTCTCCTCCATTCTCCTCTCTGGATCTTGGGCACGCACGCACACGCACCTGGCGTGAGTTTTAAGCCACCGGGTCCAGGACTCGAACTGCAGTCGACTACATGAGAGTCCAGTGACATAGCCATTATCCTAACTGCTGGTCCCAAGATAGAATAATTTTTTAAAAGGGTGTGATATGTTCTCCTTAAAAGCCTCCTTAAATAAGTTCTGTGAAAGTGAGTTATACATGGCTATGAAGTTACCGGGCTCCCTCTAAAGTACCTCCTTCTTCCAATGCTATTTGATGTTACCTATTTGATTTTCCCCCATTCCTTTGACCTAATGTGAGCTTCATGTGAAACTTCTGCTAGTCCCTTTTTTTGTTGTTTGTTTTCGCAAACGTCAGTCTTCTAAAGTTTCTTCTGTGGGTCATTTTTCATGGCTTTGACAATCCAACGATTATGCGAGAGTAAACTTTTCCCTTTTACTTTATTAGAACCAAGTCTTGTTTAGGAGTGTTTAAAGTCTTCAAATCGCAAATGTCTATTTCAGTTTCTGGGAGGACTCCCCCCCCAACAAAACAAAAAACAAAAACAAACAAACAAAAAACAAGAGCAAAAACAAGAAACAGCAGTTCCTGGAGTTTTATTGGGGCCCCCCAAACGCACGCATTCTTCGCTCTTTTCCATTAACGGGGAATGAACGTTAACCTTCAGGACTGACAACTGGATAGTAGAGGAGCACACATCTGACTGCCCGGCTACAGCTGCCCTGATTTTGAGAGCAACAAACCAACACGTTTTCATGGAGCGCCCACCGTGCCAGCCTTGAGCAGAAGCAGGACTGAGTGGGCCAGTTCTAGACCCGGGGATCAAGCCTCGGAACCCAAACAGGAGCCGAGAGCTCTCTGTAAGCGCCCCACACCAAGCCTGTCCTGGGACCCCCCAGGGCGCCTTTCCACTTGACCTTCGCGGCGCGGGGAGGGGAGACCTTTGGTTCTCAAGGGTCTGCTCGGGCCTCTCGAGGCCAAAAGGACTATGGCATCCTTAAGAGGAAAGTCTCAAAGAAGTCCACGTTCACCTGACCTCAACCCAAACAAGTGGTAAATGAGCGGGCCCCCATTCAGGAACCCGCCGCGCAGCTGAGCGCCTCAGGAACTACTATCTGCGTTTGCGATGACCTCGGGCAGGGAGAAAAACCAGCTAAAAGAAAGGGAAAGGAGGTGGAGACGGTGGAGGCGAACTGGAGCTTCCGGAAGCTCCCAACTCCTCCGATGTTTCTTAGCTCCCCCGGGCCGAGGACCCCGCGGGAAGGACGGTGTGCCGGCAGAAGTGAGCAGGGAGAGCGGACGAGCGAAGAAGAAGTGACTCCAGTGAAATTCCCACGCGCGCGGGGCCGCCAGGCGTTAGCTGGAGGAACCGGGCGCGGAGGACGCAGGGCGCACCCGGCGGTGCAGGCGGCACGCTCTCCGGCTCCTGCAGCTCGGACCGACAAGGACCGACGGACAAGCCCGAGCGAAAGACTTACCTTCAGGGTTGGCGCTGATGAAAACCCGGACGCTGCGGCCGGCGGGCACGAGGTGAGAAGGCAGGGCCGTGAGGTTCCCGGAGAACGCCGCCCTCCGGAGCGCAGAGTCCCGGGGACAGGGCAGCTTGGTGCCCGCTCCTGCCGGCCACATCGCCTCCTAGGAGGAACAGACGCCTCGGCCGCCTCCGGC